TTGGTTATCAAGTAAACAAATGTATCATTTATAAAGTGATATTGGTTATGAAGGAAGCACCAATATGGTATTGGTTACACAAAAAAATCCCGGTTTATCAATTTATAAAGCGGTATTAATATATTTAATTTCTCAAAATTTAATGCGATTTATCATTGTTGTCATGGTTCAAAACCTTGTGCTAAAATTAGCAAAGCATAAACAAAAAAAACATTGAATGATGCAAAAATGCAGAAACCAAAGTACGGTCAATAGAGTTTTGATTTGCCAAGTGGGACATCCACGTGGAGACTCAATGCCACTTGTCTGCCCTCTCTCTCTCTCACATGGCTCACTTATTTGGCTTTTTCGTGGTTTTTCACGCCCAATATACATTGAATGAATAAAAATAAAAATTCAACTTATGTAATTGTTTGACCATTTTACCCCTGCTCATTAAGGTTGGTAGATCTAATTTTTTTTTTTCATTTTGAAGTGTTGACACACCACCTAATTAAGGAAGATCCTCTTTAAATAAGTGAGTAAAGATTTGTTGTACTAATTTGTTTTGCTAACTATTTTTGTCAATATAAGTGGTCAATGTTTTTATTTTTTGATATATTATTATTCATTGTTTGACTAATTAAAATCTTTTGATACACCAAAATTATACCGACATCGAAACAGCCCAAAAAATATCTAGACAATGATGTGATATTGAAGAATCTCGAGGGCATTTTAGAACAGATACCCATTTTTTGTTTTTTAAATAATTTTGAACATTTTTTTTGTGACTTCATTATTAATTAATTTTATAATTTATGATTAATTTTCGTCTACTGACGACTCACAGTTCCCTCTCCGCTGTTTTTCATAACCATTCTCTTTCTGTGGACGAAACTCAACCTTTAAGAAAAGCCGACCCCAAAAACACAAAAAACCAGAGAGAGCCATTGATTCTCAGATTGAGAGAACAGCTTTAAGCTTTGAGAAAGTAAAAAAAAAAGACCAACCTTTAATCCCAAAACAAAACAAAAAATGGCTTTGAAGCTTAACCCTTTGGCATCTCAGCCTTACAAATTCCCTTCCTCGACTCGTCCGCCAATTTCTTCTTTCAGATCTCCAAAGTTTCTCTGCCTCGCCTCTTCTTCTCCGGCTATTAGCTCCGGCGCTAAGTCAGTCTCTCTCCATCTCCAACCTTTCTTTTGCTTTCTGATTCTCTCTGCTAAGTATAACAGATTTCACTGTGTTCTGGGTTTTGCTTGTTTGGATCTATGTTTTCTCGATTTGGCTCAGTGATTCTTCACTTACATTTGCTTGAATCTCGAGTGCGATTTCAATGGATGTTGCTTTTTAATCTGTTTAAAGATGGGGCCTTTCTCTGATATTCTCTGTTTCAGGCGATTCATTAATGCTCCTTTAGATTTTGTTCTCGAATCTGATGCTTGTTGTGTTCTCTATGATACAATCATTAGATTATAGATTCACTGAGATTGCTCAATGTATCAAATCTTTTGCCTTTACCATATTTACTTTGCATCAGATTATAACACTACTTGGTCTCTTTCTAGTTATAGTGGAATGTTCTTTAGATTGCTTAAGATGACATTGAAGGAAGCTACTAGCTTTCTTAGACAAAATGGACTCAAAGACCTCAACTTTCTTGATCAATTTTTTTTTTTATTTGATGTTAAGTTTTTAATGGTGAAATGCATGTCCACTTGTTGCTTACTCATTTGATTAGGTTTTGTCCTGTCTCTGTATTGAGATGAGATTCTTGAACGTGTATCACTTTTATGTCTGTTTCCTTTTTTCAAAGACATTACGTTGTATATCACGTCTCTTACGCCATGACAAGGCATCATCTTGTGTCTCTATGCATGCATACTTCGTGTCCTCTCTCTTTACTTTCCGTCCAAAATTTTCACACTTTCCTGTAAATTTTTGTTCACTCTGTTTCTGTTTTAACACACATTTCTCTGTTTTTAATCTTGTCTCTATCTGATCAGTAGTGACTACATTTGTTTCTCTCACACATTGCCAAAGAACTGCAAGACCGATTCATGGATGCTTATATAACATATTGTCTTACATTGGTCACAAATTGTCGAATTGCTTCTCTTCGATGTGTGGATTAGTCTATTTAGAGATGTAGACATGAATGATTATCAGAAATGAGACTTTTCCTTGTAGTTTCAATGGAGTATATAACTAAATGCTGATGTTTCTTTTTGTTGGTTGAGTATAGAGAGGTTGAGAATTTGAAGAAGCCATTTACGCCACCTAGAGAAGTGCACGTTCAAGTCTTGCACTCCATGCCACCACAAAAGCTGGAGATCTTCAAATCTATGGAAGACTGGGCGGAGCAGAACCTTCTGGTTCATCTCAAGGATGTGGAGAAGTCTTGGCAACCTCAGGATTTCTTACCAGACCCTGCATCTGATGGGTTTGAAGATCAGGTAAGAGAGTTAAGAGAGAGGGCGAGAGAGCTTCCCGATGATTACTTTGTTGTTTTGGTGGGAGATATGATCACGGAAGAAGCGCTTCCGACATATCAAACTATGTTGAACACTTTGGATGGAGTTAGGGATGAAACTGGTGCTAGTCCCACTTCATGGGCTATTTGGACAAGAGCTTGGACTGCTGAAGAGAACCGACATGGCGATCTTTTGAATAAGTACCTTTACTTGTCTGGCCGTGTTGACATGAGGCAGATCGAAAAGACGATTCAGTACTTGATTGGCTCCGGAATGGTGAGATAGTTTTTCAGGCAATTCTCATATTTCCTCGGTTGATATAACTTCCTTATGGCTTTTACTTCTCTTTTGTAGGATCCGCGGACAGAGAACAATCCCTACCTTGGCTTCATCTATACTTCATTCCAAGAAAGAGCGACCTTCATCTCTCACGGAAACACAGCCCGCCAAGCCAAACAGCACGGGGACATGAAATTAGCTCAAATATGTGGCACAATAGCTGCAGATGAGAAGCGTCATGAAACCGCTTACACCAAGATAGTTGAAAAGCTATTTGAGATTGATCCTGATGGTACTGTCATGGCTTTTGCAGACATGATGAGAAAGAAAATCTCAATGCCGGCTCACTTGATGTACGATGGGCGCAACGACAACCTCTTTGACAACTTCTCTTCCGTGGCTCAGAGGCTCGGTGTTTACACCGCCAAAGACTACGCAGACATTCTTGAGTTTTTGGTTGGCAGGTGGAAAATCCAGGACTTAACCGGGCTTTCGGGTGAAGGAAACAAAGCACAAGACTATTTATGCGGGTTGTCTCCAAGAATCAGGAGATTAGATGAGAGAGCTCAAGCAAGAGCCAAGAAAGGACCCAGGATTCCTTTCAGTTGGATTCATGACAGAGAAGTGCAGCTCTAAACGGACAAAAGACATAAAACCCCGTCTCTCTCTCTCTCGGTTCCTCATATCATCATCTGTCTACTCTTGAGATTGGTGTAGATTACTATGGTCTCTTCTGATAATGTTTCGTGGGTCTAGTTACAAAGTTGAGAAGCAGTGATTTAGTAGCCTTGTTTTTCCCAGTCAGTCACTATATGTTTTGGTCTTTGGTACTTTAGTACACTTTGTAGTCGTTAAAACAGTTAAAAAGTCTGGTTTGTACTCAGTTTTCTCTGTGGAGTTTTGTTTCATCAAGTTCAGGTTAGTTTTGCTTTGTCTCTCTCGGCTTTTTCCTCTGTTTCTAGACGAGAACTCACTCATGTGGCCTTTAGCACTTTCGGTGGATGATGAATATCTTCCATTTGCAGTTAACTAGAACTTCTGATTTAGTCAAATTACAAATAACGATCCCATGGGATCTTTTCTCGTGTTACATTAAACTACTTCAGAACTCTTAAATTCAATAACACAGTTAATTAACTTAATTTTCATTTCAGAAGCATTCATTCATTTATAAGCTTAGCTTCCCAGAGATCTCAAATTGTATTTTGAAAAATTCATATCCTGGACCCTTTAAAACTCACTTTTAAAGATTTTCCTAACAAAATTGAAAACCTATTTCCATCATTCTCATATTATGTGTGTGCAAAGGGCCCCAGTGGTAATAATATTAGTTGGATTTGTTTAATTTGAATTTAGGTGTTAATCATTTTAAGGATGTGATAAGATATTCAACACTTGGGTCAATAAAGTCATCCTCTCATTCCTCAGATCATGTAACTTGGGGGTCTTTGGTTTTCATATATTCCGTATTGGTTCTTGCAAAAGCGAATACAATTCAATAACTTATTTGATTCTTGCAAGAAATTTAAAGCTTTTAAGCTTGATACCAAACTAGCTTATGATTACCAATTAGTCTACTGAGAATTTTCACCAATAAAACTGGGGATTATAACATGTATCATAAAACTAAAACTAAAACTAGTAGTTTTTTTTCTGATGAAATTCAATGATACTTGTTATAGGAAAAAGTGAAGTTTATAAGAAATCGAATGTAGCGACTTGTTCGAGGCCATTATCAATACGAACAAACAAGTCAAAAATCTAACGAATTCGTAAACAATAAACCTAGAAAGAGATGATCATATCTGAAAGTCGAGACCTTTAGTCGATTAAATAGAAGAGATTGACGACGGCTAGCTGAGGATTAAAACCCTAATTTCGTTAATGGGCTTATAAGCTCAAGTTTAAAGAGTCTTTCTTGGCCCAATAAGGTAAGTGCTCAGAGATACCGCCATGGGAGAGAGGCGGCGGTTAGAAGCTTACCTTACCTATGAACTTGGGGAAGGAGTTAAAAAAATGTCTCCTTTTTCCCTTTCTGCAAGTAAATAAAGACACCAAATTTTCGTTTAAATCATTGTCTTTTGGAACATAAGAAGAGAGAAACCAAAGTAAAGTGAAATCAAAATCAGTGCCGGAAAAAAAAAAATGGATCAAACGGCGGAGGAGGAAAAGAAGGTAAGAGAGAGAATCAGAAAGAAAGTTAACGAAGTCAGTTCCTTGTCTGAATCTCTTCTTTCTCCTGTACAAGACCACATCAATTTCACCCTTCAGGTTCGTCTCTCTCTCTTAAAAAAATAAAAAACTTTAAAAACTTTTTTCATGTATTCTTGCTGCAATTGAACCGAATACATACCCCTAGACTCAGTTTACTTCACTCAGTTGCTAAATTTTGTAAAAGTTAGTGTCTTTGTGTTTTAATTTGTTTGCTTAATGTGAGATTATGGAAGAAGACTAAAGGTTATGTTTTGTGGTTTTGGGTTTGGTGTAGAAGGCATACTTCAAATGTGCATACGAGTGCTTTGACAGGACAAGAACTCACCCTGAGATTAGCCATTGCGCGGAGAGTTGCAGTGTTCCGATCACAAATGCGCAGAACCATTTCGATAACGAAATGTCTCTGTTCCAAGTAAGTCTATCTCTCAGCTCTTTTTTACCTTTTCATTAAGAGATTGATGCAAAACTTGTCAGATTGTACATGAATGTTGGAAGATTAGTGATTGAAATTTGAAGCCACAAAGATAGTGTGTGGCTTGTTGTCTCTTGGATAATCGATATGTTTTACTGATGAATGTAGGAGAGTTTGAATAGATCTCTTGTGGTTTGTCAAGACAAATTTGAGGCTGCTAAGCTACAGAAGACGAGAAATGAAGCGGTGAATGATTTGGAGCAGTGCGTGAACAAAACCGTTGATGATGCTGTGAAGACATTGCCTAATCTCGTCGAAAGAATGAAGAAAGCTTTGTCAATCACAGACTGAGCTTTGCAACACAATGTAATTCTTTTATTTCAGCTCTTATTGATCACTTCCTAACTGAGAAATGAAATTATTGAGTGATACTGATCATCTAGGGAAGATTAGATCAACACTTGTAGTAAAACCATATATTGATCCAGAAATGAAAGAGTTTCTGGATCAACTAGAGTACTAAATAAACTACATACGTTTTCCTATTTAATTGTCTCAATATCATGAAAGATATGCCTCACAGAGAAATTAATTGTGCTCAAATAAGTATCATCATGAGCTCCAAAGAAACCTTCAAATTCACAACGTTCAAGGATCCCCGAATGAAACTCCATTTTCATAGGAGGACCTGTTTTTCCTATATTGAGTGTCAAGTGAAATGCTTCGTCTTTCCTTTGGTTTGTATGAAACGTCAGAGATGAAATAAGACCACCATCATATACCTCCCCACTTATCCCGGTCACAAACTCAGACTCATGGTTCAGCCTCACCTGCAAACTTGTGTCATCAAACCAAAATGTAGAATATTTAAAGTGACAACTGACAAGTTAGACAAAAGAATGGGACTTACAATTCGTTTGCTACAACCATGTGATCCGTGCATTTTTGACATGATCAGAGCTCCATTCTCGATGTATCTGAATTATACATGAATGTTGGAAGATTAGTGATTAGCAAATTTCAATGTGTTTGTGGAAGATAGTTGGAAACTCGATTTAGTTTGATAACAAGACATCACTTAACGGTTGAAGCTTGTGTTTTGATGTTCTACTAATGAATGTAATACAGGACTCGTTCTGATTCTTTTATTTCAGCTCTTATTGATCTCTTCAAACATAATACATCATAACAAACAGAGAAACGAAACTATACTTTAGACTGAATCTAGGGAATGTTGGACTAATCCACAAGATTAGTAAAAGCACTATATATCCCGAGTTCTTAAAACCGCAACAGGTCACGGCCTGCTTGTTGAAACATTTTCTTGTTTGATGGCCATAACATTAGGGAGCATAAGCCTCACATAGAAACCAATCGAGATCAACTGAGAACGGTTAGAAGAACCAAAGAAACCCAAAAACTCACGACGTTCAAATATCCCTGAATGAAACTCCAGCTTCTCAGAGACCTCTTTTCCTGACTCGAGCGTCGAGTGAACTGCTTCGTGTTTCCTTTGATTTGTATGAAACGTCAGAGAAGAAATGTAACCATTGTATAGTTCCCCGCTTATACCAGTCACAAACTCTGACTCATGCTTCAGCCTCAACTGCAAATTGTGTAATCAAAACGAAATATCTCACATTGTATACATTGAAAGTTGGACAAATATAAGTAGACTTACAATTCGCCTGCTACAAACAGCTGATGATGACCCGTACGTTACTGACATGACCAGAGCTCCATTCTCGACATATCCAAATTGAATAGAAGTTACTCCCTTCTTGCTAAATGAGACGTTTATGTGCGATATTACATTCTGGCCAGTCTCATCCCAAACGAAATGGCACCTCTGCATCAGACCAACTGGCCCCATTCTTATCCTCTCCATGCCCTTGAAAGTAAGCTCAATGAGGAAAAGAGCATACACAAGACAAATAAATAGGCAGGCTTGTTGAGATTGTACAAGGACCGAGGAGTTTTTTTTTTTATGGAGTCTTATTTATGGTTAGCGTGTATGGGAAGTAAGCAAAGCAGTTTAGTCCAAAGCACATTTAAGAAGCCTGGAGAAATGTGCTTAAGTCTTAAGATGACTCTTCCTTCCAACGACAAAATTATTACAATTTCCCATGTAGGAAGTCTAAGTTGTAATAAAATACAAGGGAATGTTATTTGGCAAAGTATATCGCCTAAATTTACTCGGATTCGTCAAACCTTAAAGTTGTCATCTTTGTGCCTATATTAAGATTGAATATTTGAATAATGTGTTTTGTCCTCCAGAGGTTTAGTGTTTAAGTGATTTATGTCTTCCAAGTGAGTCTATTACTCAAACATCTTCCTGATAGTTTTTTTGTGGGATTTTGCCAAACGTTGATATAAATCTGAATGTTCAATACGAATTGTTGCAATGCAAATTTCCAATGTTGAAAGAACAAAAACCTGCTTCAATTCTTCAAAAGAATGAAGTATATTTCAATTCTTAAAGAAACTCTAAATTAACCAGAAGAATCAGGAAACTCTTTCAACGATCAAGAACTCTACAGAGACATAAATGAATTATTCAAACTTAGCAATAACATTAGTCACAATTCTTATTCAGATAATGAAACAAAACAAGACACACAAGGGTACTGAAGTTGAAATGATAAAGTAGCAAGATCATACGTTTTCTTGTTTTATAGTGTCTACACTCGAAATGACAGGCCTAATATAGAGACCTATCGAATCAAGTGCACCATAGCTGCAAGATCCAAAGAAACCACCAAATTCACGACGGTCATTTAGTCCTGAATGAATCTCTGCCCTCTCAGGGACCCCTGATTTGGGGTCGATGTGAAAGACCTCGTGCTTTCTTTCGTTTGTATGAAACGTCAGAGAGTTAATATATTTGACAAAACCAGGGCTACAACATACCTCCCCGCTTATCCCAATGACAAACTCAGTCTCATGGTTAAGCCTCACCTGTAGGTTATTGAAAATCAAACGAATACTCATACTCATTATAATAAAAAGGTAAGTTTTGAAGAAAAGAGTGTGTAGACTCACAGTTCAGGTATTTGGACCGGTTTCGGGGCCGTACTTTCTTGACAAGACCAGAGCTCCCTTTATAACATATACAAACTGAATGGATATTACCCTTGCGTGGTTAAAGCTGACGAAAATGTGACTAATTGGGTCAGTGCAAGTTGCTTCATAGTGTTTTTGATGTTGGTATTCTCCTAATTGCCCCACTTTCAAAATCTCCATTTCAATTGTGGAAGAAGAAACGTGCACTGCAAGTAGTGTGATTGCATACAGAGTAAGGAAGGGATATATAGTGGGGCTTTGGGGAGGATTGTGCAAGAAACCGAGGAGTCTTCTTTGACTTGTTATTTATGTTGTGCATGAGAATCAATTAAGGCAAAAGTTTCAAACCACATTTAAGAAACCTGTAGTAATGTGCTAAAGATGTGACTCATTGAGTACTCTCTGAAATTGAGAGAGATCATCGACTAGCCACTGA